ATTAGAAAAAACTAAGAATTCATATGGAACCAAAGAAAGAGCTTGAATAGCCAATACAATCCTAAGTGTAAAGAACAAAGCTGGAGGCACCACACTACCTGACTTCAAACTATACTTCAAGACTACAATAACCAAAAGAGCATGATGCTGATACTAAAACAGACCCATAGACCAATGAAACAGAATAGAAAATTCAGAAATAAGACCACGCACCTACAACCATCTGATTTTTGACAATATGTAGACCAATGGAACAGAATAGAGAATTTGGAAATAAGACCATACACCTACAACAATCGGATCTTTGACAAACCTGATGGAGACAAGCAATAAGGAAGGACTGCTATTTAATAAATGGTGCTGGGAGAGCTGACTAGCCATATGCAGAAAATTGTACCTGGACCCCCTCCTTATACCTTATACAAAAATTAAGATGGATTACAGACTTAAATGTAAAACCCAAAACTATAGAAACCCTAGGAGAAAATCTAGGCAATATCATCTGACATAGGCACAGGCAAAGATTTCATGAGAGAGATGCCAAAAGCAATTGCAACAAAATCAAAAATTGACAAATGGGATCTAATTAAACTAAAGAGCTTCTGTATAGCAAAAGAAACTATCATCAGAGTGAACAGATAACCTACAGAATGGGAGAACATTTTTGCAATCTATCCATCCAAAAAAGGGTAATATCTACAAGGAATTTAATCAAAAAACAGGAAAAAAAAAAACCCTATTAAAAAGTGGGCAAAGGACATGAACAGACATTTCTCAAAAGAAGACATACATATGATCAACAAACATATGAAAAAAGCTCAATATCACCAATCATTAGAGAAATGCAAATCAAATCCACAATGAGAGAGCATCTCATGCCAATCAGAATGGCTACTCGTAAAAAGTCAAAAACAATAGACACTGGAAAGTTTGCGGAGAAATAAGAATGCTTTTACATTGTTGGTGGGAGTGTAAATTAATTCTACTATTATGGGAGACAGTGTGGTGATTCCTCAAAGATCTAGTGGCAGAAATACTATTTGACCCAGCAATCTTAATACCTAGGCCATCGATGGGATGATTTGTGCAGCAAACCACTGTGGCACATATTTACCTATGTAACAATCCTGCACATCCTGCACAGGTAGCCCTGAACTTCAAATAAAAGCTGAAGAAAAAAAATTTATCTTTATATCTTTCAACTACTAACACCTAAAACAAAACAAAACAGAACAGAACAAAAAGGCCTCAGTGCTTGACTGTAGCAGTTTTAGAAGTTTTTCCAGGGACAATATGGGTTGCCACAAAAATCCCACAGGAAGAAAACAAAACGCAGATGCAAAATATGTGAAAATAAAAGTTACACTACCAGCTCTCCCTTTGTTGATGGCTTCCTTTTGCAAATTGTCTTCCACTAAATAATGTAGTCTGCATAAAAATCCTTTCATTTTTCTTCCTCTTTTCTTCCATTGGCTATTTGATGACAATATTTTGTATATAAGAGTTTTCATATTATCTACTTTTTTTGTAACTGCTACATGAAAATAAAGAGAGAAGTGTTTTTGAAATTTTAATTATGAGAAAACCAGGATTCTTAGATCTTGATTCAATCTACGTCACTTGGTTACTCATTTGGATTTATACTTTTGTCTTAACAGCACCCTTAGATTCTTGGTTTTTCCTTTTCTTGTTATAATAGTTTACACACAGGTTAGTGGATTTAGATTTAGTTTCATTATATAGAGTTAAAAATATCTTTAGTTGAAGATAGTTGACATTTTTGTACACTTTAGTTTTGAATACTGAAGAAATATCTCATTTCTATGTGAATATATTATTCTTCAATTGATTAGAAAGTTGGATGCTTAGACATTACTAAAAGTTATTTAAATAATGACATCTTATTAGTATGTTTCCACATACAGATCTGGCCATTAAAGATTGATGAGTAGAACACTGACCTTAGAATGTCCAAGTTTTCATGAAAATATTCACTAAATGAACAATATGATTAACAAACAGATTACTAAACCTTTGCAAATAAGTATTTTTATTGCAATACTAGCTTGCTCGACTAATGAGATGATTTAAGGCATATCGGTTAAAATGGGGATCGTTTATGGAAATGCTACTCTCACACACACATAGAGACATATGTAATTTTTTAAACTTTTAATTGTTAAATAGACAAAATAATTGGTGTGAATCTAGACATTCTTTTTAGTTAGAAATGTTAAAAATTGATACCTTTCATTTTACTATTTGTAGTAAATGCATAAAGCCCAAAGTAATTTCTGATCACCTTGCATGTTCGTGCTCACTCTGAGTATTTATATCTTTACAATAATGTTAATAGCATTTTTAAGACTACATGTTTTCTTCTAATGAAAGCGTTACATAATTAATTAGATCACATTGCAATTAGTGAAAAATACTATAAGCTAGTGTGTTTTATGCGAAATAAAAAAAATAATGTGACCTTGAGGTTATCTGTCATTATGCAAGGAATAGTTTCACTGTTAATGCAATAAAAGTTAATACATGTCATTTCAGAGTGATTAAACATTATTTATTATTAATCTTTGGGGTAGATTTCTCTGTTATAAATTGATAAAATTCTAAATAACTGCTGTTTTATAAAGTAATAAGAATATAACATAAAATATATAAAGCTTTCTATCAAAAACACAAACAAGCAAAAAAAAAAACCAAAAACAAACAAACAAACAAAAAAAACCTAGTCCATCTGTACTCCAGCCAAAGGCAGAAATCCAAAAGACAGTAGCAAAAGGTCAGGTCAGGAAGCTAGCTCACTATCTGTAGTAGAAAGCAGAGCCTGTTTTCAGTAAGGAAAATGTATGTTTAATGCAAAGAACATTATTTCTAACAAGTAACTTATCCAGAATATGGAGCCATAGGGAGTTTAGAAATTTAAAAAAGTCAGTAATAAAGGGCACTGGTGTCCCCAGAAGGCCATGATTAAGTGTCTAGCTGAGGCTTCTGCTTGCACAGGATTTTTTCTTCCCCCTCTTAGTTTGCAACACAAAGACTGGTCCCACTGGAAGAAAAACTTGTTATCCACATAGTATATCACTCAGTTGGGTACAGATAACTACATGTCTTCCCTGTGGGAAGAAATCCTTTTTATTAGGCTTTGTGGGCCCATTCTTTATTTACTTATATTGTTTGGGTGCCAGTTATGGGAGGCCAGGCTTTCCCTTTCCCTCTGGAGTCAGCATTCTTCAGGGCAATCCTCAAAACTCCTGCAAGACTCCATTCCCAAACCAGACTCTTCTACTCTAACCTGCCAATTTTTTTTTTTAACTATCATAGTACAGCACATTCAAATCTAATGTCATGTTTTTATATTGCTGTTGAAATCTGAAAAAGACAAAATAACCCAAAACAAAACTTAGAAAATATAAACAAATTAACAGCACAATAGAAATATAAGGCTTTTACTATAGTATTTATTTGAATTGTTTCTATAATCAATATATGGCCTGATAGGTTACACTTACACATTTGATTAACAGATGACAAAAAAAGATCAAATTGCTGAGTGTCCCACACCCATGAGAAACAGAAGGTCTGATTTAAACTCAGGCTGACTTCAGAACGATACTCCTAACCACAAGGATGTACTGCCCCTTTCATTTTTAATAACTAGTTTCAAAACTCAGATCTTCCTAGACATTATTCTCACTGGCATCTTTCTATTTTGGTCACTTATGCAGAATTTATGACTTTTATATACATATACACACATACATATACATGTAAACATTCATATATGTGTGTATATGTATATGTGAGAATATATATAATACATGTATATATTATATATTTAGTATATTATATATCTGTATGTGTATAATATATAGGTATATATGTATATTATAAAATATGTGTATATGTTATATATACGCATAGGTATAAGTACATCTATAATAGACATATATGTATATATATTTAAAAATGTATTTGTTCACCTTCGTGTGGTGCTCAGAACTGTGTTTTGTGATTTTCATGTCTGAACTTATTTAATCATTACAGCCATTCTGTGAGAGTGATATTGTTATCCTCATTTTACAGAGGTTAAATGATGCACTGATATATATCACTGAGTTTGCATGTGGTTGAGTGAGGATTGAAAGATTTTTGTCCCAATCTCTGTACAACCCAAATGCTTTTTACTCCTAAGTAGATGTAACATGCTTCCTTCTTTTCTCAAGTTTTATCTCTATGAACTAACTATACATTCTTTTAGTATAGGGGCAATACCTTCCAAATCATATACAATTCCTGTAGCCCCTAATACAGTAAGAGTTTAATACATAGTTGGTGAATATATTTCTAACCTTAGGATTCCTGTCCTGGTTTGCAAAATCTCCAACTGAGATCATAAATCTCATCTTAAATTTACTACAAATACTTAGACTCCTGAAAAATATTTCATGACAACGAGCTTCTTACCAAGGAGCACTGATGATTTTGATCAGACCCGGGGAGTGTCAAGGTCACGATTGATACAACAAAATATTGATTCCCATAGATGTAAATATTGTTGACTTTCCTATACTCTCAAGTTTCTACCAATATATAAATTTCAAATCATGAACAATCTTAGAAGAGATATGTTCCCTACTCCCACACAAATAGCCTTTGGCTAAAGTATCATCTAGGACTAAGGAAACGATTTATGGTTTCTTTCTTCTGTCTCCCCCAACATATTATTTTTAAATTCTACTTTACAGCACCAGAACCGTGATTCTTTCCTCCATTCATTTTCTTTTCTACCCTTTCACAAGGGAAATCTGGATTCTTTTGCCCACCTGAGCCATCTGTTTTCTCTTTCTATCTCCATGTTTTCATCACACTTCTCACATATGTTTTACTTCCCCTTTTTTCTGTCACTTGGCATTCCTCCCTATATGGGCATTCCAGTGTGAAACCATAGTGATATTCAGGCATGCACTAATGAAGAGGCAGACTCTTACCTGAGCTTTTGCTGACACTCTTTGGGAAAGCTTCATGGTATTTATTTAGATTTTTAAGTTATAGTTGTTTCTTATCAATGAAAGTTATTTTTTTCATTTTATATTACAGAAGACATTCTACTAAAAAGAGTGTAAACGTTCCCTGCCATCACTGCAGTTTCACAGAATAGAGATTTGCTTTTTAATATAACCACTAATGAGGACACAGATTCCAACTTAGAGTAGTAATAGAGCATGTAAGCTGACAAATTCCAGAATCAGAATTTCTTATAGCATAATGGACAGAAGCAAAACATTCTATAGAAATCAATTTTTAAAATCACTTACTTGTGCTTTGACAAATTCAAAGTGAACTCAGGACATACAAAATGGAATAACAGACACTGGAGACTCCAAAACTGTCTCCACTGGGAGGAGAGTGAGGGATGAAATACTACCTATTGGATATATTGTACCTTACTTGGGCGATTGGTTCACCAAAAGCCGAGACTTCACCACTACACAATAAATCCAAGTAACACCACTGTACTTGTACCCCTACATCTATACAATTTTTTTTTTTTAAAAAAGCACACAATGTAAGTTCAGACTTTGTGTAAAGGCTCTGAAACAAGAAACAGAAAGTCCAAGAAAGAAGTGCTAGGAAAATAATCAAAAGGAGCACGTAGTGGAATAATATGAAAAGGATCATAATTACTACCTAAGCTACTGGTCAGAAATAGTGACCGGCTGTAACAAAAGAGAAAATGGGGGATAGTAATAATATACTCTCTAAAGTTTGTATGACTTCCTCTTTATTAATACCTGGAGTAAAATCTGTATCATTCTTATGACCAAATGTAGATTTATTATTTCTCAGGAATACTTTGGTCACCTTCTTAAGCCCCAGAATTGAAAAGCTCATCAAATGTCATTCATTTCTTTTATATCTGAGAGTCAAATTCAAGCCTATTAATTTAGACCCATTATAAAATTGTAACTTAATGAGGCTTATTGTGCTTAGGTATGTACCTGTGTTGCAGAGCAGCATGTCTATTTCCTTTCTCTAAATATACACAGTACTTTAAATACCTAACATATGATTTTGTACCCGTTTATGTTGTCCTTTGTATCTCATGAATTAATCCTATCCTTGCAGGTGGTCTGTGAGTTTCTTGAAAACAGGGATTGTGTATTATTATCATGCACAGTAAAATAGCACAGTAACTCACCCAAACATTCATAACATAGCCAAATCCCTACCCTACACCAAGCTCTTTCAAGAATACCATAGAAATGTGAAGACAATTTAAAAAATAATTTTAGGTGTGAATTCTTTATCTTTTGATTTGATGTTTTCCTTTCATGTTAGATGTCTCCCCTGTTCAGAGAAAGAGATAGCTTCCTCCTTTCTAAAACCAGTTTTTAGAACTGGCTAAGTTCAGTGCTGAATTTATTTTAGCGACAACTAGTGATCTATGGACTAGCAAAACTCGAAATGCATTTTTTAAAGCTTCGGGGGATAAAGGAAAGAGGAGGTCTCTACTGGGGATGATTCTGTCTTCCTCTCTAGGAGATGGCTTGAAACAGAAAACTTTTCTCTATGGAATCCCAAGAATATGAATGTTATTTCTAAATATGTTGTTAAATAGATGCTGATTTTGATTACATGGTTTGAGAAAGAAAAATTTATACATCTATATTTTAAAGATTCCAGAGATCCATGTATATGTCTTGAGTTTTAGAGACACAAAAATTCTATTCCTTAGACCAACCTCATTTTCCAGATGAGGAAATAGAGCCTCCTGAATTAATTGCTCTGCCATAGGTCTCACAGACAGGAGTCAGGACTTGAATTCTCATTCCAGATCCGCCGTTTATCATCCGGCATAAACCTTTGACAAGCCAAAGAACTTTTCCTGGATTAATTTTCTTAAAAGATTCTTGAGATTGCTTCCAATTACCTGCCTGTGTGATTATTCTAACTTTTCTATTTTACTTTTTTACAATAGGCCCACAACTTCTATTGCAGCTACCATACATTTCTTTTTAGACTAGTTCTCTACACAGCACACACATACACATACACACACATGTACATAATCACACAAATGCACATACAGAATAGATTGGAGCCCAGCTCAGCATGGCTTGCTGAGTTGACACCAGTGGTAACAATAAGTATGGATTCTGCAACTGCTGAAGCAGCTGTGACACTCTTGGACAACTGTAGGCTCTTTGCCACAGCCTGGGTGGGCTGTATCATCAGCACTGCCATTATGATACACATAAACATTGGCCCCAGTTTCCAGCTAACTAGGCTATCTGACTCCAGCTCACAGACATTTTTAGTTAGTTCTCATAAAAGCAGGTATATGTGCATGAGCTGATGTACAGACCTTCTTTTTGAGGTTTTCTCAAGTCACTTATCCAAGTTTTGCAGTTATATGCGATGATTATTTAATAGACAAGCATAAGTAGTTTATAGCAGCTCTTTTGACCCTTGTGAATGTCTTTCTCTCAAAGTGAACTAGCATTTTTTAATGTTTCTTTTTTCTTTCTTTGACACATTTTCTCAGCTTAAAGTGAGTATTTAAGATTTAAGACACAGAGCTTCTGTGAACATACTTTTTTCACAATTTCTAGTATTCTCTAAGTTTGAAATTAAATTACCCACTAGAATTTCAACAGATAGAAGCCTGGAGCAGCCAGTTTGATATAATGGTGTGCCTTTGTGAGCATAATCACTTTTTAGACATCTCTGGTACAGAACCAGTAAACCAAGCAGCAGACTTATTATTAGACATGATAGCAGACGTTCACGAGAATAGAGAGAATGTCCTTGGTGTTTTGTAATTCATCTGACTTGCTTTTTCTTAAAAGCAAAGCCATTGGCTTTATACTATTTTAATACATCATCTCAGGAGTTTGCAGGCCTCTGTTTAGCACATGTAGAACATAAACACAGCAGAGATTAATACCTGAACAATATAAGAAGTTCAGAGAAGGAAAACTTACTTGAAATTCACTGAATCTATTTGAAGGGAACATATTTGCAATCAATTCCCAAGGAAAGGTGAAGCAATGGCTAGGTCAGCATTGCTTAATGGTCATTTCTTTCATAGATGGCTCTCACAAATTTTAAATTAAAAGAAAAATGGTTTGTAATTGAGCAGGCATCACTAGTAACTTTCCAGAAAACTTAGTTGTCTGACATTTTTCATTGATTTTTCTTATATTAGAAAATGAAATGTCAGACGCTATTAATTGCATTTTTACAATAAATAGTTACATCAGGAGTAACGGCTAAATGAAAGTACTTCCTGTCTAATGCACAATAGATATATTCGTTTAAATGTATTCAATTTAGATGAAAGCAATATGTCTATATTCATTACAGTTATACCCACCTGTGGGCTGAATTGATGAGGTGGTAATTACTACCTTTATAAATGGAACAGCATTGTCAGTCTGGAGGAAGAAAACCTATTTTCTTATCATCATATTTCATACACCCACACAATAGGCACATTCCAAAAACTTTCTTCCAATCATAAAAATTTTACTCTTGAATTTCCAGTGGACCTAATGATTGTAAACATGATCACTCAATAGGCTTTTTTGGAGGGTTGCAAAGGGTTGGTCTCATAGGGCATGATGGAGGGGAACTGAGAGTCTCAAAATCTCTTCGTGCAAAGTAACTCTCATGTTTGTTATTCTGCATGCCTGCAGTGCAGCTGTAGGCATCATGTGGCATGGATTTGATTATTCTTATACCATGCATTGTTTTCTGAGTTCAATGAAGGTAGGACAATTAAAATGTGACTTTGTTGAATACTTTTATTTTTAGAACTTGTTCTAAAAATAAAGTCTGTTAATTAGAAAAAGCGAGTACACATAGTTCCTATACACTCTGCTCAATCCTAAATAGTTTCTCTTATTATTATTTTGTATCGTGTGGTGAGTTAGTGTATTAGTCTGTTTTTATGCTGCTAGCAAAGACATACCCAAGACTGAATAATTTATAAAGGAAATAGGCCTAATTGACTCACAAGTCCACATGGCTGGGGAGGCCTCAGAATCATGATGAAAGGGGGATGAAGAGCAAGGTCATGTCTTACATGGCGGCAAGCAAGAGGGCATGTGCAGGAGAACTCCCATTTATAAAACCATCTGGTCTCATAAGATATATTCACTATCACGAGAACAGCACAGGAAAAACCCACCCTCCATGATTCAATCACCTCCCACCAGGTCCCTCCGATGATATGTGGGGATTATTATAATTCAAGGTAAGATTTGGGTGGGGACACATAGCCAAACTATATCATTCTGCCCCTGGTTCCTCCCAAATCTCATGTCCTCACATTTCAAAACCAATCATGCCTTCTACTGCCCCTCAAAGTCTTAACTCATTCCAGCATTAACCCAAAAGTTCAAGTCCAAAGTCTCATCTGAGAAAAGGCAAGTCTCTTTCACGTATGATCCTATAAAATCAAAAGCAACGTAGTTACTTCCTAGATACAAAGGGAGTGCAGGCAATGGTTAAACACATCTGCTCCAAGTGGGAGAAATTGGAGAAAACAAAAGGGGTTTAGGCCCCATGCAAGTCCAAAATCTAATGGGGCAGTCAAATCTTAAAGCTTCAAAATGATATCTTTTGAGCTCCTGTCTCACATCTGGGTCGCATATTATGTTCTCTTGACTATGTTTGGAATTCTTAAATACATGAAAGTAAAAATAAAAGAGATTAAAAACTCCTGAAAACTCTAATTATGCAAAGAAAATTAAATTTTCTAGCTTTATTTTTATTTTACATTCTTGGGTACATGTGCAGGTTTGTTACATAGGTAAACGTGTGCCATGGTGGTTTGCTGCACCTATTAACCCATTACCTAGGTATTAAGCCCAGCATACATCATCTGTTTATCCTAATGCACTCCTTCCCTCAACTCCACCACCAGACAAGCCCCAGTTTGTGTTGCTCTCCTCCCTGTGTCCATGTGTTCTCATCATTCAGCTCCCACTTATAAGGACATGCGACATTTGGTTTTCTGTTCCTACATTAGTTTGCTGAGGATAATGGCTTCCAGCTCCATCCACATCCCTACAGAGGACATGATCTCATTCCTTTTTATGGCTGCATAGTATTCCATGGTGTATATGTACCACATTTTCTTTATCCAGTCTATCATTGATGGGCATTTGAGTTGATTCCATGTCTTTGCAATTGTGAACAATGCCGCAATGAACATATGTATGCATGTATTTCACGTAA